TTTATTTTTATTTTATTTCTTATGAGTTGATCAGGCATTCAGTTTTGAGGAGATAATTGTGATGTGTTTTTCTCCTAATTCTTCTTAGCACCTGTATTACAAATATTGTTCATTTTGGAATTTAGACAGTGTATTATGCATGTCTTCTTTGCACTGGTTCGATGGTTTGATATATAGTTAAGATATTCACTAGAATTTGTGGGTTTTCTGTAAATTGTTCTATACAAGTATGTGTTATGTATCTTGGTGACCATCACTAGTGGTGGTATCTTATTATTTTTTTATATTTCAGTTGTGAAATGTATTGATGTATGTTGTGTGTTCAAGTTGCTCACAACTTCTGAAATGTTTTCTGCAGTGCATTTCCATATTCCAATATGGTACATTACCTCTTCTCATATAAATAACCATTCTCATTCAGTGCTGCCCTCTATTTACATTTTTTTTTTATGCATAACACAACCTTTTATCTCCCCTCCATTAGAATTGACTGATACAAATGCATCTCTCATGCAAATCATTATGCACCAACTCTCCACCAATAAGAGTGCAACATTCTCTCATGACGCATGACTCTCTCTTTTCAATTCTACCAAACTATCTCTTCTCATTTGGCAGTACTCATGTTCAGACATTTTTTTTCTTTTGGTGCTCTTCGTGTGAATCATGATTTTAATAGTTTAATTTTGGAAGTGTGATTTCTTCATTATTATTTTTTCTTTACACTGAATAAATCTTTTAATTTAATTTCCCTGTCTTTATTTTTTTTTCTCACACTTGTATATTTTACGTCAAACACTTTTGTTTGATTTATGTATTTCTACCATGAATTCTGATGTTCATGTTCCCATTTTGGGTGTTATACTTTTAGCACTATTTTCACAAGCTGCAGGTGGGGAAGACCTGTCATTGGATTTCTCTGCTATTATCCATCATGAGATTGATCGTTATGTGGGTAAACCTTCTTCTTCTGAACTTGCCCCACTGAACAAGTTGATGATTCCTTATTACCTCCAGGTTGGCTTGTTTGTCATCTTCAGCTCTCGCTTTACAGATGTGGTTTCATTGTAGTTGGATTTTCTGGGTTGCGATGTGACCTTGTCCCTGGTATGTTTGACACCTCTTTCTTTTTGGGATTTCTGTCTTTTTTTCTTTGGTTATATGTTTTCAATTATGT